CCCTGCCTTCTAGAGGTTATATTTTGCACCAATAATGTTCCAGAAAATCTCCCTTTTCATCTAAAAAAGCTTATGTGTACAACCAAAAAGATGCTAAGTAACATACTACCTCAGTGGATTGCTGAATTGAATGATAAATACTGTGCAAAGTGAGTGTCTACCCAGAATGAGACATAGAGGTACCTGATAATACTTGAGAATCTGAAATCATACATTAAAAACACTTGTTGTTAGAGCACTGGACTCAATGAGAAGTGAAGAGTTGCGGCTGTATCAAGACCTTGCTGCTTGTTCAAGAACTAAGTAATATTCGTGTTAGATTTAGAGGCAAGTAAAGAGCAGCCTGATATTTGAAGAACGTGATTATCCACATTCTTCTCCCCCAAGGAAAGGGCCAACAGAGCTAAAGTCTTTTAGTCAAGAAGCAGCTTTGATTCACAAATACTATGAGCATTTTTAATGTCCCATGACTATCACCTAGAGCAGTTTTTGCCTTGAAGTACAGAGAGAAGGGAAAATGAACATTTATATCTTTAGTAAATATCATTAGTTGATCTGTTATGACATTTATCTGTAAAATAAGAAAATGATTTGGGCATTAGTGACTTTTAATTACTCTCATTTAATTCTCCATATTAAAAATTATTTTTTTAACAATGGGAAAGTAGCTATCAAGAAGATAAGCTTTAAATAACTTTTCAATGAAGCCATCTTGATATTTCCTTTCTCTTAAAGAACCCAGTTATGAATTACTTTGCTTTCTTAATTTAGTTCTGATTTTCTAAAAGTTAATTCAGTATGAAAGAAGTGCAATGGAAAGGGAGCCCAGTGCCCAAAAATCTAAAATGGGCTGTCTCTATGTAATAGAAGCAGAACATGCTCAGTGGTCAGTGCTAGTATCTGGAAAAACTAGAGATATTTGGTGATGTGGCATAGATTGTACTGAAGGAATTCCAAGTTAGAGAAATTTGGTAAGAAAAAGTAAAGGAGAGAAGAAGGGGTTATAAAAGAGCTATCCCCAGACAAAATGTTGAAATAGGCAAAGTCTATATCCTGTTCCATCCTACCTCTACCATCAGCCCTGGCCATCTTTTTTACACTTCCTGAAACCAGAGGACTTAATGCTAGCCTCATGAGTCTTCCTGTTTCAGGTCTAAATAGTCACCTTCCCCTTAAAATCCATTAATGCTTCAGCAAGCATCTATTGAACACTGAAAATGATAAAAATGCACACATATATAAATCTGCCATATTCCCTATCTTCCATAAACTTGTGGTTCATTGGGGGAGGAAAAGAAGGCGTGTAGATCACTAAAACACATGGGAGAGTGGTGTAAAAGAAGGACAAAGAACTTTAGGGTAAAATAAAGCAGCAGAACTAGACAAAGAAAGGATGAAAAATTAGAGGTGTGGATTAAGAAGGTGTGCTGTGACAAATGCTGTGAGTTTCTAAAAGCCCATGCACAAAAAGTCAACGAGGAAGAAATTAAGGAAAAGATCCTAGAATTGATGATTTTAATATAACTATAAAATGCACTTTAAATGAAGTGATTCATGGATCACATTCATTTATTCATAAACAAATATTAAAAGATTTAACAGGTGAATTTCATGGATTTGGGGATAAGTAAAGAGAAAAGGGATGACAATCATTTATGTAAATAATTCTAACAGTATTATGAAAGACATAATATATTTATTATAGGAAGAACAGCATTTCTCCCATATGTTCAGAGCAGAGGCAGAAGAGAAAAAGCCCACTGTTACCAAACGGTTTACATAATGATCAGGTATGTTAAATCAAAAAAGAAAGAATGAGCTTTAAGAATATGGAAAATATTGAGTCAATATATTATACACCTGAAACTAATAGAACAGTGTATATTAATTATACTTCAATTTAAAAAAAATATGGGAAATGTCCTCTTCCTGTAGAGACAGATTGTGGACTGGAGTCCTCAGCTGACTGGGGGCTCATTTGAAAACTTTAATGAGTGGCAGTACTTTGGAAACAACCAGGGTCCTGAAATAAAGATGAAAAGGCAACAAAAAGCAGACTAACTGCTACCCTTAGGCAGGCAAATCAAAGCATCTGAGCCTAAAAGGAGATAGGAAAAATCACTTCAAAGCTTTATTATTCTTTTGTTCATTTCTCAATAACTCAAACCAACGGATATCCCACCAGGAACTTGCTGTCCTTTTTTGCCTATGAAGAAACATAGCTGTGGTGGATATCTATTATTTCTATCTTGCAAGCATCCCCTACTCCTTCTTCTGCTGACTGGATACTTTCCTTTTGAGAGGTTTCTTCCCCCATGCACAAGGGTATGTGTGCAACCTAGGGCATCCAACCAGAGCCCTTTGTCAAAGATTGATCTGCTCATCAGGGCACCAGGTTTGCTTTCTTTGTAAGATCGAAAACTTTGTCATCTGTGTAGGGCTGGAACTGTACTATGGACACAGTCTGATGGAGAATGAAACCAACACAGAAAGCAACGCTGACAGCAAGTGAGAGAGGGAAACATATTCTTGTTGATGCTGTTAAGCCATGGTTCAATCCTGCCACCCTTTGTACTTCTGAGTTACGTGCCCCAGTGCATTTCCTTTGTTTGCCTAGGTTAGTTAGAGTTGAGTTTCTGTCATTTGCTATTAAGAGTCCTGTATGCAATGTTTTTGAATTACATATTTAGGTAGGAAGTCAAAGTCTAAACTTTCAAATCATAATCTGCCCAGTTCATGATTATGTTTAGTGTGCATGCTGTAGCATAAAGATATTCAGTCAATCCTTACCACCTTAAGATTAATTATTGAGAAAGAAAGAAGGAGAACAACTGGGATAAAGATATATTTTTCATCTTCTTTCACTGCCTACAGAAAGGAATGGGTGAGTTATATTGATGCCCTAAGGAAATTCCATTTTCATCTTCCCAGTGAATCACTCATGGAAAATTAGGAAAATGGTGTTGTCATTTCAAAGTGGCTCTAATCCTGGAGATGCCATCTATTGGAGACATGCTTTAAAGGAAGAATGATTTAAGGAGCTAAAAACTAGCAAGTAAAAGATCTAACAGTAATTGATCATCTATTTTGGGCTGGACACGACACTAAATTTTAAGTGGGGACGGAAGGAGGAAACTCAGGAGGGAAGACAACTTCTACTCACCACTACAGGGGTGACTTCAGCTCAGGTCATGATCCCAGGGTCCTGGGATCAAGCCCCATATCGGGCTCCCTGCTTCACGGGAAACCTGCTTCTCCCTTTCCCACTCCTTGTTGTGTTCCCTCTCTCTCTGTGTCTCTCTCTGTCAAATAAATAAATAAAATCTTTAAAAAAAATTTAAAAAAAAGATCTATACCACTACTGTTCTGTGAAAAACACACCTAAGTTACTTAGTGGGGTTAGCAAAACCTCCCTAATTTGTAACAACAGCAAAAGAAAGTAGCCTTAGCAAAGAAACTGAACTGTGAGATATTATAAAATACATTCCACGTGAAATCATTGCTCTTACAAGATGCTCAGTAAATTCTCTGAATAAAGGAATAAAAATGTAACAAGTCACTCAAAACTCCCAATCAGCGTTTTGCAATTATTAGCACTCCACGGAGTATTATTCTTAAATTTCCTGAGCCTTTATCTCAGGTAAAGCTATTGATTCAGGGAGTATGTTATGCAGATACCATGAGAGTTTCTAGTTTGGCAGACTCTGGGCTCAACATTACATTATTACTCCAGGTAAAAGATGAGCATCTCTGAACGTCAACGTTTTTACCTGTCAAACCGGAATAATAATGATTCTCTTACGGGGTAGTTGTGAGGGGTGAATGAAAAAGGCGGGAATTTGACTCAGGAAATATTTATAACTCTCAGTTTAAAAGCGGAAAAATTTCAAAAGTATACTATCCGGAATGCAGGTAGAATATACTGAAAATCGATAGTGGGGAAATAGTTAATTTGCAGGGTCGGTGGCTTTGAGAGTTCATGAGGCTGAAAGTGTTGGATGCTCAGGCGACCAAGGAAGAGATATCCCGGCCCGAGCTCGGCCACAGGACAGAACCCTGGCTGCGCACGGTTACCAAACGGCCAGGTTCCAATTCAGTTCGGGCAGCAGAATCTACCCATCTCCAGTGTGCGCGTTTTTCTTTGTGCAATTTAACGCCCGGTTGGAGGAGGAAGGTTGGAGGTAGAACGTGAGGTAAAGAAATTACAGTTCGAATAACAAGAACAACAAAACCAGCAAGATCGGGATGGGTGTCAACGAATATGCAAAATCCCGCAGAATGAGGAGTCATAAACGCCCTGAAAAGAAGTTTACACGTTAGCAGCTTTTTGGGATGCTGAACGTCGCCCTTTCCTCCTTCTAACAAATCCAAGCATCTCCCCAAAATTATTTTTTCCAGAAGTCTGAGCCAATTTCGTTATGGCGGAGCTTTTTCATCGCTTTAGCCCAAATTTCCTCTGTTTCTTTGACGAGACCCGAAATTAGGGCTGCCCGGCAGGCGGGAGCCCCCAGTCCGGGCAGCCTTGGGGGCCTGTGAAAGAGGCACTCTGAGATGTGCGGGCAGGGGCCCGACAGGACGCGCGCTCCGGTCCCCGTCGCTGCAGCGAGCGCAGGTTCCCGAGCTCCGGGCGGCGGGGACGCGCGTGGGAGGGGGCGCTTTAAGCCCGAGCGGCGGTTTCCGCAGGAGCTATTTTTAGCAGCGCGTCGTCCGTCTTCTTCCCGGGCTTCCAATGTGGTAGCCTCCGGCTCGCAGCCGCCAGTCCGTGGCTGCTTTCTGCCTCCCCCGCCGCTGCTCGCTCTTGGTAGCGTCCACGCAGGCAGGTCCGGAAACTGAGCATGTGTGGAAGCGCTCGGCGGCCTCGGCGGTGGCGCGGGCAGAGCCGGGCTGCGTCAGGCTGAGC